AATAAATATTATCATTAATCTTTGGCAGAATGATCAGCAATCACTACTGGACAAATAATCACAGTTTTTGACTCTGACTGAAAGATGTCCTCATGACAACGTTCTGGACGCGTTTTCACAAGCCCAATTTGGACCAATTGTTGGTCCTAACTTTCAATCGGAAATTTCTTATCTAGGTCAACTTTGGATAAACTAATTATCAGTGACGGTGGGCATCGTTCTTTTCTCTCCATGCTTAACAGACTAAATACAGCAAATGAGGCAATTACTCATAAATTTTAATCACCTCACGTAATCCTACTAGTATGTCCCTGTTTCAAAAACATTCCACATCAGCATTTCTATCACTAATAAAAAGACATTTTGAGACAAAAACTAGGTTTTTGCACAGTTTGGAGGTACATTATTATTATTATTATTATTTTTTATATTACTAACAAAAATTAAAAGAATTAAATCTATACTTGATTTGAAAATAACCACTGTTGTATGTATTACTCATTCTCATTTGTTTGTTTATCTGCCAGTAATTAATATAAATAATCACAGTTTTTGCCAGCACATAAGCATAATAGTGATGAGGGCATATTTTATCCAAATACAGCATAATGTGTGACAGACACTTCATATGACAGCTAGTTTTTTTAAAACTTAACAATTTAAAAAAATTTAAATGAGGGAGCATTCATGGAGTCTCACAGTGCCACAGGCGAAAATTGATTTATTTTTCAAACAGAATAAAAATCTGATTCTAATCAAGAAAACATTTGGGTCCAGCTTTTTGATTGAGTAGTGATGGTGAATTTTTCACTGGACTTACTTTCATACAATGAAGATTACTGATAATGAGCAGGAAAAAGTATGAAAGTGAACATGTCTTGCCAATTGAAACAATGCCTTTCTCTTCAATTATTTCAGTAAGATCTACGAGCTTGTTGTCACAAGCATAACCTAACAAGCAGTTAAACAAAAATTTGGCTTGTAAAATTGTCTGGTGGTTGCCCCAAACAAACAGTCGTCAACTAAAATAGCAGCAATCCAATACTACACTAGTATGACAGTCAAGCCTTAGAAATATTTTTTGTTTTTGAATTCAGATTTTTTAAAGGTATAATCTTGCATTAAAATATTAAAATCCTGCAATGCTTAAATTAAAGTTGTGTGCTTCCTTTTTAAAAAATTCCCATTCTAATACTTTAAAAGAAAAAAAAAAAGCTGCTGCTTATATAAATTCTGCAACAATACAGGTAAACCAATACCATGTCAATCACAAGGTTTAAAAAACCACTCCTTAAAAGACATTTTAAAAGTGTAATCTCATCTTTACAAGAAGTCAAGATCTCCCATAAAACCTGCATCAATTACAGATATTCAATGCCCAAACTGCTTGTCAATCAGCAAGATTTTCGAAAGGAATATAATATTTCTTAAAAGACATCCAGTAAATGCTGTCTCAACTTCACAAGTAGAACGCAAACCAAACAATTTAAATAACAATTAAAACACCCGTTCTCAAAATGAACTTACAAGCAAAGCAAAAAAGCCCCCGCAACAATCAATACAAAATCACAAGCTGTTAAAAAGATGGTGACTCAAGCAACCCTCATAATTATCCGGATGTTTTTCAAACTTTTCTGTCACCGTTAGATCATCAATCATCGGATCTACGTGACCAGGTGATTATTTTTTTTTTTTACAAAATGGGCCTGCGATAGACTGGATATCCCTTCTCTGCACAGTGCGCGTGGAAATAAAACTGTCCATTATCTGGGTTATCAGCAAGATTAGACGCGTTCAGACTTATACAACCTTGAAACGAATATATCCTTGGTCCCACGGACATCCAAAAAGAGTGTTCGCCCACTAAGATTTAAGCACCTCCAGTGCAGCAGGACCTTTGTGGCCACCACACTGTAAGCAGAGTTACATCCCATTAAAGCTCAAATCATTAAATTATCACTGAATTAATTTCATCATCTGAAGTGTTTTGGACNATTTCATCATCTGAAGTGTTTTGGAACTTTTTTTTCTGTTTTTGCTGCATCTTACAGATTATTCTGCAGCAAAGTAGATCAAAAATGGACAAGTGGAAAATAAAAGTCTTTGGCAACAAGTATGCTGGTTTAGAATTCATTTTTTTATATTATTCACCACAGGAAAGAATGAAAAGATAACACAGCATCATCATCATTTAGTAAAACAAAATCAGTTGTACTGTACGTTTAAAATACTCCATAAGTCATATTTTATTTGTGGACATATCCTGAAAAGCTAGTACTAGGTAATCCTCTCAATTCAGACCTCAAAAATTAAAAGACCCCTCAAATGTAAGTACTGAAATGGCACAGGGTCTATTTCAAATTTTGATCCTGGGTGGGGCATTTGCAGACCAAAATTGCAGTCCCCCCCCCTTAAAAAAAAAACCTGGCTATGTATTTACAGTGGCCTGCCACTGTTGGTAAGTTTTAAACTGGCTGACCATTTAGCAAGCGTGCCGTTGCTCCTCAAACATCAATATATCTCGAACTGTTATTAATTCTCAGTGTAGTATATTTGTTTGCTGTCTTTATCATAATGATGCAGTCATCTGAAATGTTTGAATTCTGCGCAATATCAGAATTTCAGTAACCTACGAATTTTGTAGTATTTGCTATCAAGATCAGCTTGTCAAAGTTTAAGAAATGTTTGAATTCTGTATCATATCAGAAACTGAATATAAGTAATTAATTTTAGGTTCCTGTGTCAATTCTCCGCCTTACCAACTCTACCAAAGCCAAATAAATCTCCTAATTCTATCAAAAAATCAAAAAGTCATCAATTCTAGGTCTTACTCATCTGTTTGATAACATTATATACATGTACCAGTAGATGTATAAATTGGTTTGTAGCTGAGATTTTGGTGAACTGATCCTCACAAGCTGCTGACAACAAGGCAGCGTGTTCATAAAACCTTGTCATGTTAAAGTCAAAAACAACAATCGCTATAGCAGACTTTGATTGCTAGATCTACTTAAAAAGTTTTTTATTACCTAAACAAACAGAGAGGGCCTGTCAATGAAGGAGCACTCCCCACGTTTCACTTTAGACCAGGGAGTGTCTACTTATGTTATCACCGAACTAAAATGCACGACCAAAATCTTGATATCCTTAACACGAACTGGCAGGCTATTACCTTAAACGAAGAAATGAAGACTTTTCAATTTACTTGTTTTGAAGAAAAAATACTTTAACAAAATTGTGTTTGCGACCTTTTGTGCCAAATTGTCAAACTCACAGCAGGAAAGTCTAAGCTTAATAACAAACTATACTGGGGTGTCACAGGTTTTTTTTTTTCCATCAGACTATGAAAGGAGGAAAGGAGATCATGATATGCATGCTTAAAGAGCCCAATAAAGAATCAGCCTAAAAAAATACAAAAAATAAAGCTTTCCCAACATGCAAAATGGTACTATAATCTTATTAAGATTATTATAATGATTTTTTTTTCCTCCACTATTTCTATTTTGTAACATGAGAGAAATAAACAGTTTAAACGACGAACAACATGATCTTGAAAATCTGCGATTTCCCCCCCATTTACGCGAGTTTTCGATCAATCCTCGTACATCAACCCCAAGAATTCCCACCTGGAATTAATAACCCATAATATTCCCAAGAATCTAGTGCACTGCCAGTAACAATTTCATCTGTGACACAATCTCTTAAGAAAAAAAAAAAAAAAAAAAGGCCCATGGTATTACAACTATGAGGGTTTCAGCAGGGTTTTCCCCACTCAAAATGGGATGGCAGTCAAAAGCCAGTGCTCTCTTTTGGTTCTGGTTTTGCAAGACTTTGAGACCAAAAACTGGATAAAACTTAAAGATCAAAATTTTCTGTCCACATAAATGAGAAAAATTATCAATAAAGTTCAATTCAGCTGAAACATTGTGTGTTCTATAAAATGGAAGAATTTGTTCACTATTTATATATAATAATTAGACCCATCTCTTAACTTAAATTTCACTTAAATGTTCTTGCTCTTTCATATATTTATGAAGATCATATAAGCTAAGATCACCACAGTGCCAAACATTATTTTATGAATACCTCATTTAATTAGGCTACTACTGATTAACCTTGGGTTAAAGTAGACTTTAACTTTGGTCTAAAAGTTAAGCCTAATTTTCCAGCTGAAGTCCTTTTTCATTAAACAAGGCCCAGCACTGCATGTAAACCACACCTAGATAATGTATATCATTCCATTTGCAGCCTGGAGGACAAGAATGGTTTTTGGATTACGTGAGAGATAAAAGCCTCAGGTAGCCACTCCTGGAGATGTCTTACCTGGATACAGCTCTGTGGAAAGTTACCTGGAATCTAGTGTAGCTACCTGACACTTTTCTGTCTTAGATCATTTAACTTGGATTATTACACACACCAAATGTGTATTGCATTTGCAACTCAGAAACATAAAATGATGTTCTTTAAATAAAACTTTATTAAATCCAATATACATATATTTTTAATTTTTAGGGTCAGCTTTAAAATCAACTTTTAACAAATATATTTTCCTGAAACTGACCCTAGCTGTACAATATTTCTCTGAAAACCTTACTGAAATTGTAAAATNGTTCCCACTATATTTGGATGCCATGTTAGTTTATTTCATAACAATAAACATTCATTTCTCAAAGATATGTTCTTTCCTTGGTTATTTGTCATCATATTAAAATAATCTAATTTAATATCAGGGAAATCGGTTTTCATTATTTTGCTGTCAGGGAAAGCTACTTTCTTGCAGGGAAAGTAATATACAAAATCACTTTCCCGACAGGGAAAGTATGATTTTCTAAACATTTCGACCCCTGTCAGTTAATGTAACAATTTCTTCAGGTCACAAAAAATTTTTGTCCACGATTCCCTTTTAGAGCTCTAAGTTTTTTCTTTTTATCATGACAAACATTTCATGACAGGAAAATTCAACAGAGGTCGTCCATGCCAAGTGAGACTCAAAAATAAACCAGTAACAATTTCACTTACAAGTGCTTGTCGATCTTCTTGGCATCTCTATATCTCTTCAGCAACCTCCTCAACACGCGCATACGGCGCATCCACAGCACCTTGACAGGCATACGTGCGTTAGCCGTACCCTTCCTCTTTCCTGTGCCGGTGTGACGACCCTTCCTGCGAGCAATGGTGTTCTTGCGCACACGTGCGCGGGAGTGCACAGCAACTGGCTTACGGATGATGAGACCATCCTTGATGAGTTTGCGCACGTTTTGTCCTATAATTAATAAACACAAATATTTGTAATCTAAATTTAGTACAAATTTCCAGGCAAGTGTACATATACAGAAACATACGCATGTAAAGTATGGCATTTGTCATTTTAAAGAAACTATTCATTTTTTTTACCCTTAAATTTATGAGTTTAACATGAAAAGGCCTTAAAGAACAGTATCCGTCAGTGCAAAGTCTCTATTTGGATACTGAGGCCATACCCTCCCCCAATTTTTAATATTTTTAATATGCATCACTTGCATTCACATCCTTAGACTTGCTGGCCTGTGCAGTTATGGAATACTTACGTGAGTTGGCATTTGCTATTTCATTAGATTCATTAGGATCTAACCATACTTTGTTTTTGCCGCATTTTAAGACGGCAGCGGCCAGACGCTTCTGTAGGCGTAGCGTACTAAAATAGAAAGAAAAATATATTGAAAAATAGTAAGCATCAATGCTTTAAGTCTAGTTTGACAGGTTTTTTTATGAGTAAGTTGTGTAACTACTTTTGAGCACATTCTGAAATACATTTTCTGTAAGCCATTCACTGAATGATTTTAACCAAATTAAATGATTGCATATTATCATCTTAGCCCAATCAAATCAATTTATGAAGCATTTGCCTACATACAGCTGTCAAGCTACTCTAGATTAAATGAGATGCTTTAATTTCTAAACACCCATACTGAACTGTTGTTATTAACTGACATGAGAAAACTTGCCTAAGCATCAAAAAAGAAATTTCTCCTCTAGCCATAAATAGTTCATTCAGTAACTGGTATATTTTAAAGAGCGTCAACAGTTTAACAATCGTTTGTATCCTTCGTCTATCTTGGAATGGAGAAGAGATCACTTTTATCAACTATTTTTCTACATAAATGCAAGACCAAACACGCTTGTTGCACCACACATGGAAATGCTCGCTTGCTGCCCTAGTCCCGATTTTCAAGAATATCAAGTTTATTAACAAAAATATCGAGCTTATTAGCACAACTATAACTTAAAAAGCGTATGTTTGTTTCGACAGTTGCTTTTGGATTATTGATAGAGAAGAAATTATCTTTCGAACATGCCCAATCTTTACCTCATGGCTGCCACAGATTCACAACATGGACGAAAGGAAGGACTTAGAGGGCACCTGCACTGACATGCGCGAGAGAATATAGTGCCTAATTTTATTTCAAATTGTTTGTTCTACGGGCCAAATAATGCCAAGTTGCTTTGATAAAGATTGAAAATATAGAACACATATGCAAATTTGTCACTTTTTTCATGGCATATTGGCACCAAAGTATATTCGCTTTAATACAGAAGCAGTGATTAGGCCATTACCTGCCAATTTACGCTAGAGGGATAGCACCATTGCTCCTCTCGGAAAGTTTCGTGACCTCTCGCGCCCTCGACCTATTTCTGACAGACGACAACTTTTTTTGCAAGGGCTCCTAAGATTTTTGCCAAGTACCTTGAAAACATGTCTGACGCGGAACTTCCCGATAGCAAGAGAAGGAGGGAAGCCTTCCACGATGAGAGGACGATGAGCGTCTCGGCCATGGTGATTCCTGGGCGTGAAGGGAGGCACATTGCCAAGGGGTGCTATGCCGGTCGGAGCGTTGCAGTTTTTACTAGTGGTGGAGATGCACAAGGTGAGGCGAAGGTCAAGTGGGTCCAGCCTCAAAATCACGGAAATGATCGTCTTTTGAATGAAAATCTATAGTTTTTCGACTTCGAATGAACATTTACGAGATGAAAATGTTTTATGCACATTAAACTGGATTAGCTGGATTGATATTTTTATTTTATTTCTGCCTTCTCTGGGTCTTTTTACCGGCATCGCCCCCCCCCCCCCCCCCCC